CTGTAGAACGTTCGGCACTTTAGCTTTAGGGACAACCATTTGCAAACGACAGCTGTCTCTTCGACCATTGTCCCATTTACGGCACAGGACACCATCCTGAATCAGCAAGCTGTCCCATTGGGCCCAATAGCTTTTCGTGGTTGAACTCATCGCTGAGACGTCCCTCCACTTAGGCTTGGTAGCACGGGCCTTCATCCATCCCAGAATCGGCTTGATGTCCGGATCTTCCTGCTGTGCATGTCGTAGGTTGTCCTTCCACCCGTTGCTGAGGTGGTCTGTCCTGAGCATCCTCACGGATACCACCTCCTTACTCTATTGCCTACTACAATGGTTGCAATCTTCAGGACAAGGTCTTCTTGACAATGCATCTGCGTTGCCGTGAGATTTCCCGCTGCAGTGTCTAATAGTAAAGTCGTATTCCTGCTGCTGCTGGGCGGTGCTGTTAGCCGCACTTCCTTTCTGAGACCGTTCACCTTCTCTTCGTAGGGTGTGCTCAGGGTAGCTGGACCGAAGATGGCCCCTTTCCCCACAGCCATAGCACCTAGGGCTGTATCTTTTATTGCGGTCGCGAACCGTAACTGCTGTAACCTCCCTTGCGTGAGGTGAACGATGATCCTGTCGCCGCCAGGCAGTGTCGTTAGCTGCACTACCCTCTCGAGATCGATCAACTCTCCTTTCCACGGTTCGCTTAGGGCAGCTGATTCGAGGATGGCCTTTTTCCCCACAGCCATAGCACCTAGGGCTGTATCCTTTGTTGCGGTCGCGAACTGTAGCTGCCGCAACCTCCCTGACGCGATGGGAACGATGATCCTGCCGCACGGCTTCCACTTCCAGTGCATGGGCCAAGGCGTTCTTAAGCGTCTCGTGGTGCCCGAGCCTCACAGCAGCTCTGACTTCCAGGTCGCGGATGCCGTCGATGAATGTCGGCACCAGGTTCCCTTCAATGAGCGCAGGTACAGACCGGTATGCCTTTCGCACCAGCTTCTCCACCTCTAGAGCCCACTGCTGCAGGTTTTCGTTGATGCGCTGCACGCGATCTTTAAGCTGCGCACGAAAGACGTGTTCCAGGTGAGCGTCGCCATACCTCGCCTCCAATGCCTCAATGAGTTGCTCATAAGTCACTTCCTCACCGAGAGCTTCCAGAACTGTTAAGGCCTGGTCGCGCAGGCCTAGTGTGAGAGCAGTCATGGCCTGACTTTCATTCCAGCCGTTCGCCTTCATAACAGCCTCGAACTGGATCTTGTAGGCTGACCAGGAAGAGGTACCGTCGAACGGCGGCACTTTGAATCCACGTAGCGAAGGTGTTGTAGCTACTACGGGAGCTGTTGTTCCATCCCCAAGTTTGAGGTCGTCCAGCGTTTTCTTCACGTCAGCCATTACGTTGTCAACCCGATTGTTTACTTGGTCGATTCGGGTTTCGGCCTCCGACAGGCGGTTGTCATGTTGAGCAACCTTATCCTTCACCTCCCGTATCTCTTTTCCGAAGATAGCGTGAAGGTCCTTCATGAGGAGCATCAGCTCTTCCTTATCGCGTGTGAGTTGCTCTTCTAAACGACGGGCCTGTTCCTCCTGCCAGCGGGCCTGTTCCTCCTGCCGGCGGGCCTGTTCCTCTTGTCCGCTTTGCAGCTGCTCTTTCAACTGACGGTCCTGCTCCTCCTGTCGGCGAGCCTGCTCCTGCAGCATCACCATCAGAGCACCTAAGTCAGGTGCTGCAGATGTAGGAGCTACCGACGGGCCTGCAGCCGGTGGCTGGCCCTCCGACGTCTGCGGCGTTGCACCACCAAATCTTCGTTGGTCCGTCTCCTGCTGGCGTTGACTTCGGGTACGGACACCCTCCGTTTCCTCCTTAGGTAAAATCGGCATGATTTTATCCCACTTCTGACACCAATTGTTACGAGCTTGAGGTTCGTGACAATAAAAATTGCCGATAAAATTACCTAAATTAACACTTTAATTTACTTTACACAATTAAAGTTAAAACACTAATAATTTAAACACACTAATTCACTTAATTCCACTCCGAAGCTTCGCTTGTTTCGCCCAAATCAACACTGCCTCCATCGCATCTTGCAGCGCCTATATATTTAAATTAGCAAAGAAATATCCAGAATGTTCAAGTAAACACGCGGAAGGTACCGAGCGTTCGAGTTTCGACTAGGCGCTGTCAGTTGAGCGATTTGTGATGTCATTTTCTCAATGCTCCCCTCGCTCTCGTTCCTGACACTAGATGGCGCTAGTGTATCGTTGACTGGAGCGCGTAACAATATTATACTACTCTACATAATATGTGCTTTTACCATGATACATTGGGTTTTGCCATACACTCTTGGTGACCAAACTAGGTAACTCAGCACTTCTCGTCTCACACCTGTGACGCTGGTCCCCATACACACTACAAAGCCTGTGTTCTACATCTGGTATTATATTCGAGATAGTTCGAGGTTAGGAACATCTATGCATTTCACTCAGTCGATGCTATGTCATATAATCGCAGGACTTGACTGCTTCGTTCGTCTAGTGGTCGTAAACGCGACTGCTAATCATAAGATCCCACGTTCGAATCCCGGGTCGGGCATGTAAAATCAGTTATTGAGTTTTTCTGTCAAAATATTTTCAGTAGTTGACGGAGTCAGCAAGTCGGCGGTGTTTAATTTCACCCCCGTGTCTCTAAAAGAACGTAAAGCGGTGGGTGCTGCGCCTGATCTCTCTCCGGTCATGTCGGTTTACCGTCCCATTATAGGAGTAAGGGAATAGAAAGTGCGCCTGTTTTTGCGCATACACTTGGGCTCTATAATCCTGTACTACGCCGATATCTAGTCTCCGTTAAGGCTGGCCGCCGTATCCGAAATTCGGTCAGGAGAACATTATTATTATTAATCACAGGACTTTCGTTACGCTCATTAGTTAATCTCCTTCAACCTGTAAGAGTCCACTATCTCTATCTCCTCCTGAGAAGAATTTGTCTTTACTGGCACGCTTGGCATGCAGATTGACGAGCATTACCACACGTTTTCTCGGATTTTAACGTTGGTGCCCGTCATCGGGTAATTTACGCCTTATTTACGGGAGATAGTTATATCACCATCTATCGGAGGCTAGGAGATTTTCTAGCATTTCTAATAGTCGCCTTTTAAACATTCACTGATCGGTTGATGGATACACCAAGGCTCTTTCCTGCCTAGGAGTCTATTGGGCGGTACCTCCCTCTAGCGTGGGTCTGATACGTACCATTTGAAGGTTACAGGAGCCAGTATAATTAAAGTATCTATCCTCAAGGGAGACAATACATCATTTACCTGTTTTGTTTGAAGTAAGTTGCAAGTGTTCATGAGCTGAAGTAGCCTTCTATAATCAGGTGGAATGTTCGTGCGTGTGTCGCTTTGATGTAATAAAATCTAAATGAAACAACAAATGTTTAATTTTTTTATAATTAGTTCCAAAAAAGTAATTGTAGTTGTACTTGAGCGTATACAAACCCGAAAGTTATAAGACGTACCACGGACTGAGGCTTTAATATTCTGTGCCAAGGTAGTGTTACACCTCACTCAGAGCACTGTTAGTTATAAAACCAACTAATTATATTTATATATAAATCAATAGCTGCAGGCTTGAGTTTGTGTTGCAATTATTGCACTAATTATTTATCGTAATAATTACCCAACGATCGGAACATGATAACGTCTCATATTACGTTGAAATAACAAAATATGATCCAATTATATATTAATTAATTTTATAAATGTAATCTACTAACTGTAAAATCCGTTATTTCGTTATTATTATGCACTTCTGTTGGATTTCCCCTAGGGTAAAATAAAGTAAAGTAAAGTTACAGCCTATATACGTCCCACTCCTGGGCACAGGCCTCCGCTCATTTCTGAAAGGGTTTTAGGGCAAGGAATTGTCCGCCGCGCTGCCCCAATGCGTGTTGGGGAACTTCACATGTCTTCGAAATATATTTTTTTCTTATTTCTCTGACATGCAGGTTTCCTCGCGACTTTTTCCTTCACCGCCGTGCACGTAATAAAGCAGCACTTAAAATTGCAATTAACAATTTCATTGGCGCCGGCGGGGATCGAACCCGGTTTGCTCGCGTACTGTGAAATTTAGAGCAAGCGCTAACCATCTGAGCTACCACGGCTCATTCCCTTGGGGTAGCCTTTTTTATTTCCAGAACAGTACATACACTATATTATATTTTATGAACATCCGTTCTTCTTGCACGCATGTGTATGACGTAATATTTTATTTTAATACCTCATCCAAAGCGTACTTAGTAGAAAATGTATGATAATGGAAACAGGAAACAGAGCAGCAACATAAAGCTTTTATTTAACATTAATTTACTGCAATACAATAGAAAGCAGTATTTGTTCTTTTCACCCTGATCATACGGATTTTTTATATAAGTTTTTTCATTATGTTTTACTTACAAACTTACAATAACTTTTATATCGGATTCTATTCTATGATTTCAATTTAATAACATTTCAATTTTAAAGAATATCTCAAGTTCAATGTAATAACTAGAATGTCTAAATTTTTGTTGACACATCCATTTATTATTTAATATTCAAAAAGGTCAACTCTTAGATGTTACAAATTAACTAACTGTTTATAATTAATACTGAACTAATTGTTTATAATTAATGTTAATTGTAAATATTGTAATTTTAATTATTATTTTTATTTAATTTTAAACCTAATTTGTAACAAACATCTAAGAGTTGTCCTTTTTGAATATTAAATAATAAATGAATGTGTCAAAAAATATTTTCAATTTTAAATCAAAATTAAAACTAAGTATGATTGGTTAGATGGGAAAACGGACAAATACGCCCCATTACTGATGCTGCGACCGACGAAAATTTCCAATTTCAGTCATTTCCAGTTGGATAACGCTCTATGGAAATTGGAAATGTATAGAAGCGATCGAATGCAGGTATATTACTGTACAAATTGCCAGACACAAACGAACATTGCTACGCTTATTCTAAATTATGAGATTAAAAGATATTGCTAGTGCACAGTCCAATACTCCAATCATCATTTATTTCTTGGTTAAATTTAAATTGCACGAGAGTAACAACTGTTGCTTTGCTTTAAACTTCGAGACGAAGTTAATTAAGAAAGCTACTTACTATTTACGCTTCAGTTGTTTCAACAGAGTTAAATGAGAAATTTCTTCAGTTCTTCGCAATCACTGATATTAAGATTAAATTATTGAACAGTTTAACTTAAACATCAAATAGTAATAATATTTTTGCGATATTTTACTCATTTAAATTAAAATGTTCTTTTCCTTGAAACAGTCCACTACTGAACATAAAAGTCATCCTTATGGATAGATGGCGGTATGCCATCTCGTATATTCCATATGTGAAATCCCAGACCGGCAACTTATTAGTGGCCGGTCTGGGATTACAGCGTTAAAAAAGTGATACATGTAATATTGCAAGTGCTAATCCACCAGCCAAGCGTGGTGATTAAAACAACTATTTCACACATCAATAAAGTTAGATTATTCTTATGAAAGTGTGGATGCAGAGAAAAAAAAGTGTTGCCATTTATTATTGAAATGTTTATTTTTTACCATTTATTTTAAATTTAATCATAATAATCAATAACAACATTGTATGTCTAAAGTTATATTTTATTTTCAGCGGAGGGAAGCCTGTCGGACTTTGCGTTGCGCAAAGTCCATTACACGGCGAACAATTCCCTCAAGAAGGGTCTCTTCACGCCCGACAGCAGGTAAAAATCTCTAATTTAATTAACACTTAAAGGTATTCACTATTAATATATGCTAATTGGGCGGTCTTAAGGCCGCACGTTTATGTAGCCGTACCTTAAAGTGTAATTGGCAATAACCTACATTTTTCAAGTAGATAGTTCGGCTATCGCATTTTTTATAGAATATAGCTGACAAACGAGAACACAACCACCTGATGGTAAGTAGATGCTGAAGCCCGTTAACAATCTACAGCTATAAAATTCAAAAATGCAGGTGTCCTGTCACCCTTGAGGATTACGATGGAATGCCTCATTCAGTAATAAGCGTCTCCGGTTTTCTACATTCACCATACGACAACAGTGCAGTATTAAGCCGCAATTTTACGCTGGTATTCTGTGAGAACGAGCCATTCGTGTGCCAATCATAATATAGCTACAGCGTGGCTCTACCACGTATATAATGAATATATAAAACCAAACTTTATATATTGCTTGAGAAAAATATTTTCATCCGTGGTAGAGTCAGACTGCAGCTAAATTGTAGCACTAATGGGTCGGCTCGACCGGGGAAGAACCGAAAACTCTTTTTACTGGAAACGAGGCATTCCTCTGGGGCGACAACGCGTCTGCATTTTGATTCTTAATCGAGGGTAGATGTCGATAGGGCCGTCTAATATCTACTAACCATCGGATGGACTTTATGCTTGTTTGTCACGCGTATTTTATAAATACAGCGTTTATCGATCGAAATACACATTTGCATGAATGCGAAAGCTGGTGAATGAATTTCCAAGGTGCAGAGCGATGAGTCTGATGAGAGAAATTTAGGTTCAGAGTCTAATCATCTTATATTGATTTAATATAAAAGACTTCTGAATCAATAGCTATTTTTGTCCTATATAGTTTATCACTTACGAAATAATCAGTTGCTAACAGTAAGTTGCGAGTTGCAAGTAGCTAATAATCAAATCCTACGTTCAGCAGTGGACTTGTGAAGGGCTGTAATGATGATGATGATGAATAATCAAATCAAACAACTTTATAATAAATACAAAGTAAATTTTATATACCCTGTAAAAACTGAAAAATGATTTATAATTGAAATTTAACTCTTTTGTAAAAACTAGCGAAGCGTTACTTCTTACTGAGACTTAGTACGGGGAAAATGATGCTTAAATGTTGCTAATCTTTAATCATTTTTCATTACATTACGAAAGAGTTACTGTAATAATAAGTTTTCCATGGAGAATTTCAGTCTGTGGTTAAATGAGTTCCCGCGCTGGGCTGCGGGTCTACGACACTCAAACTACGAAGCTATGTCCGATTAAACTAATTTAAAATTGCCTTCACATTAGCCGACGCAGTAAGACCAAGCAAGGCTAAATGCATTAGTGCCTATTTAGATTAGATAATAAAAGCCACGCAGACATGTGGGCTGTGTAGTGACCAATGGACTTCACGATGCTGGCAAATTGTTATAAATGTGAATCAACAAAGTGTTTGATTAAAACTACTTTTACGGATTTTATCGCGTTTATTTTTCTTTTAATTACTTTTATTTTTAATTCCGGACGTTTCGGGCGCTTTCCAGCACCCATGGTCACGGGGGACTGAGATGACTGACGTCCCGATGTCATTGTTAAACCCGGAGTACCTTCAGCTTTTTTAATTATTGTTTATGGTCCGATCTATGCAAAATGAACTGACTATGTCTTGAGGTCTTGCAGTGGTATGCTTGGGTTTAGTTTTAATTTTATTGATTATAGGATCCCAAGCAGGTGGTAGTACCCAGCCTCCTTCTCTATTGAAATTAGGATGTTTTTTAATTTCAATAGCCTCACGTATCATCCTTGGTAGGAATCGGTGTTCTTTCGCGAGGATTTGTGGTCTATCAAATCTGATGTAATGGTTGGGGCCGTCTAGGATATGATCACACACTGCAGACTTCCCGGAACGTTGATGCTTCACATCAGCTATATGTTCTTTTACGCGGGTTCTAATTGATCTTTTTGTTTGTCCTATATAAGAGAGACCACATTCACAATCAAGCTTGTACACTCCTGCATCTTGTAGAGGAATATGACACTTGACGGATGGTAGGAACTGACTAATCTTCTTCGGCGGCTTGTAGAATGTTCTAATAGAAGCTCGCTTCAAGATATAGCCAATCTTGTCTGTGACACCTCTGACATATGGTAGTACAGCAGGCACACGCTCGACTGTGGCCGGCTTCACTCGGTCACTGTGACGTAGGCGCGGGACCCGAAGCTTGTTGTCGTGCAGAACTTGCTTGACGTGCTGAAGCTCGGCGGCCAGGTGTTTGCTGTCACAGATCCCTCGTGCTCTTTGTAACAAAGATTTGCCCACGGTAGCTAACTGTGAAGGATGGTGGTGAGAGTCACCGTTTAAATATCGGTTTGTATGGGTCTTTTTCCTATACACCGTGTGACCAATGGTGTTATTAGGATTTCGGATGACTAACACATCTAGGAACGGTAAGAAATTATTTGCCTCTAACTCCATAGTAAATTGAATTTTAGAGTTTATGGAATTAAGATGTGTACCAAGGATGATACGTGAGGCTATTGAAATTAAAAAACATCCTAATTTCAATAGAGAAGGAGGCTGGGTACTACCATCTGCTTGGGATCCTATAATCAATAAAATTAAAACTAAACCCAAGCATACCACTGCAAGACCTCAAGACATAGTCAGTTCATTTTGCATAGATCGGACCATAAACAATAATTAAAAAAGCTGAAGGTACTCCGGGTTTAACAATGACATCGGGACGTCAGTCATCTCAGTCCCCCGTGACCATGGGTGCTGGAAAGCGCCCGAAACGTCGGGAATTAAAAATAAAAGTAATTAAAAGAAAAATAAACGCGATAAAATCCGTAAAAGTAGTTTTAATCATGTGTAGTGTTCGCGTAAATATAAGAAATCATTAAACAAAGTGTTTTATAACGTTTTATAAGGAAAACTGTCGTATGGTGAAACTGTTAGAGGTGGAAAGTTGAGCAATACTTGACGCATTTATTTTCTAATTTTCATTATCAATAGAAATTAAGGCTCCGCCCAAACGAGCCACCGGCTACAGGCAAGCCAGCAGGCCAGCGACAAGCACTTTACATATTTTTTCATGCATCTTGTATGATGAATACGCTGCACACGCTATTCGCTATAGCAGTGTCTTTAATACCTACGCCATTTGTCACTGCATTATGTGACGATAGCCACCGTGGTAGACTACATTGTATTATAGCTGCAGCACGAATGGGTCAGCTCGACCGAGAAAGGACGACACTCTCACTGCAGATAGCAGCATACTGTTTATATAGCAACATAAGGATTTTGTTGTCAAGTGACTTACCATTTTAGTTCCGGGTAACAATTTTATTTATTTTTATAGAATAAGGTTAACAAGAGAGCAAACAGCCCACCTGATTGTAAGTGGATGCTGTGGCGCATAAACCTCTACATCTATGCGCGATTTAGAATCAAAATGGAGGACTAAGATGGAATGCTTCGTATCCAGTAAAAAGGGTCTCCGGTTCTCTACACTCACTATATGAAACACATTGAGCTGCTATTTTACGTGGTTCTCCGGTCGAGCCGACGCATTCGTGCTAAAACTATAGTATAGCTGCAGCGTGGCTCTACCACGGGTAACAACGCATCTGCGTTTTGAGTCATAATCAAGAATAGATGTACGTCGCTATAGGCCACAGCATCCAACAAACATAGGTGGACTATATGCTCGTGTGCCATAGAGTCATATATAAAAACGTTTTCTTAAATTGTGTCACGAGCTCAATCATCGAGCACACCACGCATGACACCAAATTACACATTTTTAAAAGCATTATGAGAAATTACGAGTGAACGTACGACTGAACGTGAGTATTTCGGCCATCGACTTAAATTAGCTAAAATATATTATGATTATTATATCTTATACGCAAAACAACAATTTTCATCATTCAGGGAGTGGGTGGTTAATTTATTAATTAATTTATGAAATTAATTCCGGAAGAACGCACGTTTAGGCCTACAAATTGGGTCAAAAGTATCATGTTGTTAGAACAATCGCATTTTTAATAAGCACTGACTTAAATTTCCTCAAACTTTATGTACGATCTATTAACATACCAGGAGTAGGTATATTATATGTTAAGATTTCTCATATTGTTGGTCAATATACATTTATATCGGCAACATTGATTTTAGAACCTATGGTCTGTGTGTCTTTGGCGAATTTTTTGATGCGTAGTAGGTAGTCTTGACGTAGAGTCTTTTTGTGAGGTGTGAATGTTTTTCTTTAATAAAGAAAAGTAATGTTATGTAAAAGTGAATAGTAAAACTATGAACATAAAACAAAAGGAAGTTTCTTCAACTGATTACGCTAACACATATCATACATCTGATGATGATGTTGTCTTTCTAGTCCTAGCTAGAGGAGGTAGCCTGATTGGCATCCTTGTTATCCTTGTTCTTCTTTCTTAGTCCGCAAAATTCCATGTGCTTCTCACATTTTGGGGAGGATTCGCCGGAATCACCATCATATATTGGCAAGTTTGGATAATTTGCGGTATTAAACCACGACATAAATTACCAAGAGATCACTGTCATCGCTCTATATGAACACATCTTTGCTAGGCATACTATTTTGTGTGCCTCCTATCTTAATATTACTACTAATAAAACGAACTTTACAAATTCCAGACCGGCTAGTTTACGTAACCTGTACGAAAGGGCGACTACAGACCGCCTCTCAGCGTCGATCCTCGAACAGCTGAGAAAGGACTCCCAGTACTCTCCGTACCTGCTCTGCACGCCCGTGTTGAGCAAGGAACGAAGGCGCATCTACCAGAAATTCGATGTTGATATTGAAACGCACATTGTAAGTATCGGACGACCTTATTGTTTTTTCTCTTGTTCATCAACAAAACATTGTATGAATTTAACACATCTAAAATTCTAACTTATATTTTCAATTTTTCAAGTATACGATAGCTACGGTGTAGGTGTAGGAGGCCTGAGGTATTTGAGGATTATCTTATTAAAATTTTGGTCGGTCCTTCCGATTGTAGCACACAGCTTCCTTTCTTATTTTCATAGCCTCGCATTATTGACAGGAATCAGTATTTTTATAAGAATTAATAATTTATCAAATAAAATTGCAGACTGCAAACTATCGACGCTCGAATAAATTTCTCGTCGCATTCTGCAGCCCATCACAAGTACCCACACTAGTGAACACAGGCTCCCCCATAAACAAGTCTTCGCTAGTCGTATTACACCCAATAAAAATATTATTATTGTAGTTATATTTATTGGCGTAAAGTTACAATATCGTTGAAGTTATTTATGTCTGTACTGTAACCGAACAAATAAAAACGAAACAATTTCTGCGGCGTGCATGGTTTAATTTTTCGGATACGAGTATGATGTATCATCTTAGATTTTATTGTCTAGCATTCGTGACCCTGAATCTTACCATTCCCTCGATTTTATTGGATAACCCTTGAATAATGGAAGATAAAGTGCCAATTCTAGATTGATTTTTTATATATATCTTTAAAGTGCCGTGGTTACTAATTAGTAGTAGTGCTGAAATTCCGGTGTCATATTTCTTTTCAGCCGTCGGTCGTGGAACACCTTCGAAAATGGACGTCGCAGGAAGCGGTGGGAGATGTGACGGCTCTCCCAGACGGTTCAATGCGCATAGCGAGCAGCGTTACATTAACGCCTGATGAGCTGTCAGAATGTGGTTCTGGGGATGATGAGCCCATAGACCACAGGTTACCTAGCCCTGAAGAACAGCTAAGAGTGATCGCTTCCAAGTGAGTTATTTACATTTTTTATTTCTTTCACCTCTGTTCGAATCTACTAGATATATGAAAGTTCAGAAAGCAATCAATTCAAAATCTGGATCACAGATGACGGCCTCGATGCGAAGGGGTCCTTAGCATTAGGTTGCGGCGCAGAACGCCACGAGTACAAATCCTGCAAGAAACAGGAAGTATTTTTATGGCCTGCAAATGATTTTCCCACATCTAGTTCTTTGTACATGCAAATTATCAATTTTAAACCTCTTTACGACACTTATAGGACAATATCCGACAGTTAGTGTAGTTTATTTTAAAAAAGAATTGTTAAGCTACAGCAGTCAACGCCTCAGTATCGAAGTGGCAGAGCGTTTGGTTACGTCACTGCGAGGCTGCAGGTTCGAATTCATTTATACACGTAACATGTATTTGACCTACAAATAATTGTTCCGAGTCTGGATTTTTGTGCATGTGCAATTTATAAGACTATTGTGGAGTTAACCTTTTAAAAAGAAACAAATAGGCTGGCCTGAATATACTCTGAATACTTGATTCTATGTATATTTCTCATAAGCAATTACATCTAAAAGAGATGATAATGCCAAATGGTGACTTATGTTGAATTATAAATAAGCTATAATAAGTAGATGACGTATAAACATATTATACCTACTAAAGATTGGCTTATGTCTTTATCTTCTCTAGACAACTGCCATTAATCGTTATATATTACCGGTGTGGGTATTATTGAGGTTGTTATTTTGTCTAAACCTTAGGGTATTTTATGCAACGCAACAAAATAAAATGGGAGAGATTAACTTTCGATCTACGAAGTGATGAAAATGTTTTTTTTTTTATAAAAGCTAGGATGACAAACGATCACATAGGCCACCTGATGGTATGTGTATACTGTGGCCAATAGATACCTTACATCTATCCTCGATAAGGAAAAAAGATTTGGTGTTGTCAACACTGGGGAAAAAGATGGAAGGCTTCGTTACTAGTTATAAAAGTCATACAAGATTTTCGTCACCGTACGAAAATTATGCGTTATGTTATTTCATGATAGTGTTTTCTGCGAGTGTAGTCCTCCACACTCAAAACTCTAGACTTCTTCCAGTTGTGTGAGCTATTTTTGCAATAATTACGGTCGCTTTTTTTCATAGATTTCCTCCGGAACTCGTTGCGATAGACACATCGGGCAAATTCTTCGACAGAATGTGCAGTTCTCGCAAATCGCTACACATAGAGAGCACCGGCGTTGAAACCGACACGGTGAAGCGACGCACACGAACAAGAAAACCACGGGGTAAAAGACGAAACACCATATCCGGCACTGATCAGAAAGAGCTTAGAGAGGCTATAGCTGGGTAAGCTTCTAGTTTGCACCGTACACTCGAGGTTACATTATATGTTAATCATAAATATGTATTCGTAATTGTAAACTTAATGATTATACAAAACAATTAATGTAATCTCATTGTCTCAATTAACGACTATAACCCTTAAATGCACAGTACAATTTGGAGCTTTGAAATGCTCATTTAAATTCTTTGGCACATTTAACATATTGATAATATTATCGTGCTTCTGTGAATACATTATTTTCTGTAACTGATTGTCATTGTTTATTTGCGTAATATGATTAACAAATTTAAAAATGCAGAGACAATCCATTCTTGCACTTGTTCACTAATAGTGTCATTTGTTCATATGCTTTTATGATTAATGATGTCTTTGTAAGATGCCGCTGTTACAGGACGAAGCGGCTTCTGTCAAAGTATTTTTCCTATAGATCTGCCTTAGCGTGTGACTAATGCTTTGCTTGGTTTGTTTTATCATAGTGATACAACAAATGCTGTGGCTTCTGAAGAAACTGAAGATAACAACACTGTCGTCAGATCACAATCTAGCGATTTGTTGAAGAAAAGCCCTATTGACCCTATAACAAAGAAAGGACATTTCAACAGTTTGAAACAATGGGGCAAAAATAGACTAAAACTGATTGGAAGGTCACCAAGCGCCAGCAGAGATAGTTTTAAAGATACATCAAAAACAGAAAAAAACAGAGATGGTATATCACCACCTAGATTTGAAGAAATTCAAATACAGGAAACCGTCACTATGAGAAAGAAACGACCGGGTGACGAGGATAGACGAACCCATCAAAGATGCGCCTCGTACTCATCTTCAGAAAAGAGCATAGGAGTTCCCACTAGCGCCCCAACTACAGCTACTATAAACAGTGGCGTTAAATTAAGAGGAACATCAATACAACGAAGGTTAAGGCGAAGTGGACCTGGAAAAGATGAACCTCATTCATCCAGTGGAAATTGGTCCGCGAGTTCTGAATCTGGACGCACTAGCATTGGATCAGAAATCACAACAACTACAGTACCACCCAAGAGCACAACATCTGCTGCCACATCCAACAATTCTCTTAACTTTCACCACGGACCCCCTAGTTCCATTATAAGCAGAAGAAGATTCCCTAACAATTCAGGTTCTGGTAGCGTGACAAGTGAAGGCACACTCACACCAGATATAATACACGACTTACACGAAGATTTAGAAACTAGCTCAGAGTTCTCTTGCGATACAGAAGGTTATTACACATCTTTCCATATGGATTCTGGATTAAAGACACTAAAAGAAGAGGAAATATCACCGAGTACACCATTACATACGAGTACAGCTTTATCGAGTTCTTCAAATAGTCAAAATCTGACGGCAGAAAATGAGTATGAATTGTTTGGTAAAGGATCAACGAGTACGACCACTAGTTCTGCAGGTACTGTTTGTACTACTCTAATGGCAGCTGGAAGCGATCGATCTCTAGTTATAGGACCTACAGTTCCAGAGAGAAAGAGTTCGTTGACTATAATTAATAGAAGCAGAAGCAACAACATCAACAGTGCCAATGCTAGTCTAGATAGGAACGCGAATTCTTCTTTCTCTAAATCACCGTTTAGTAGCTTGAGATATAATCCCATTCGACCGTACACTGATGGAGTAAATAATCACTCCTCCCCTGAAATACGAGAAATTCCTTCTTCAACAATCACCATTACGAGAAACATCGGTAATCATAGAAACATAACGGCTGTAGCTGAAGTACACACTGAAACTGATGTTGAAAGTGCAAAAAAGAGCACTGGTACTAGTTCACCAGACTCGGGACATAATACATCAAGTTCTCCTATTGAAGATTCTGTATCAAGTGCTCACGGAAAGAATAGCCTATCGGAACAGGACTATTCCGAATCATCTGACCTAGAAGGTACCGATAGAATAGAAAGAATACGGTACAAAACCACCATAAATAGTTCTAGAATTCCTTCAATGTGCGTCATTACACCAACAAATTCTGACGATGAAAGTGAAAACAGCAAGGATTCAGAATCAAGTAAAATGCAAGATACAGAAAAAGTGGCGGAGAATATGGTAAAATCCCTAAGTCGACCCAAACTTGATTTGCCAACTGATGAAAAACCTAAAGAAATGAAAAATAATATTGAATTAACAAAAGCAAATACTAAGTCTCAAAATCACCCAAAAACTTCTCGCCAACCATTTAACAATCTTATGTGCAAATTAAAAGGAGTACTTCCAAATAAATTATCTAATAAGAAGTCGCCAATTGTAAAAGAAATTGAAGATTTCTATGATTCCGGAGATTACGTGACGATAGCTGATGTTAAAAATAACAATCAGAAAATGAACTTAAACGGAGGTACTTATGGAAATAACGACATCAGAAAGAATTTACAAGCTGTGTTATCTGGAAAACTTCCAGAAACCGAATATGTTTCACTCAATGAACTACCAAATTGTTTAAATGAAAGCAAAGATTTTGAACCAGGGTTTGAAGAAAAATCATCATCAGCATTGGAAGAAATTCAAAAAAAAGGAGCTAAAGTAACTCTTGACTCTCATGGTCAAGTCATTTACTCATCTGATACTTTAAAAAGAAGGAAAGGAGCACACACTACTTTTGAACCAGGACCTTTTGTTCAAGAAATTTGTCCCACTATGTTAACAATACAACGAGAAAATGCTGACGTTGTTCAAATCACCGATGAGACTGATTTTCCCTATGAACCTCCTCCGCCAGCTAGTAAGCCCACGTCTCCACAATTAGGAAAAATGATAATCAAAGCACCAATAGATCGTCATGGTCCCGTAACTACTGAATTCGTAACTTTACCAGCACCGAAACCGAGCACAATAATAACAGCCACTCCAGTAACTGAAACTCCTAACGTAACTGACCCACAGCCAATTACAGTTGGTAAAAGTAATCACGACCTACCACGAGTGGTAGAAGCTATAACCAGAACTGGCGCTTATGTAAATATTCACGATGCAGAGGGTGTCAGCTTGTCTCCAACGAAAGGTGATACTGCAGGTAAGAATAAAATTTACGCAAAATCTCTTCTAGAGGATCCTAAACCAGAAAACAATAATTTAAATACTAATGAGGAAATTATTCCTTTCATTCCCAACTTTCAAACCCCTAATATATTAAAAAATAAATGTCAACATGATTTTGATAAATTAGGCAGCAATAATAAAGTAGCTGAAGTAATGAGAATGTTTACAAGTAGAAATGCAAACGAGCTTTCTATAGACACGAACTCCAGTGAAGATATTTCAAATAAATCACAAATAAGTAAGGTAAAACGCAGTGATAGTTACAAACTTGCAAATTCGCCGCTTATGCCAATCAAAAAGCTATTTAAATTTGATAGCTTTGGTAATAGCACGAAAAAAGTAAATTCGTTAGAAATGATCCAAGCTGAAATAGCAGCGGATCTTTTGCGAGAACAAATAAATTATCCACCAACAGTATCCCCTAAGCTTAATCATAGAAATGTTTTTGATGAATTGAATAAATGCGAGTGTATAAATGTTGATGATACCTTCACAGCCAATAAATTTGAAGCTGAGTTATCAGCTTTGACCTTAAGCCCATTAACGACACCGTTGCTCAAAAGACAATCAATTGCATTTGTTCCTAATACAAGGGACACAGCTATGGATGTCTTAACTGCTATATTAGATTCCGATCCCGATAACATTTGCATTCTTCACTCTCCACCTCCCTTTTCACTGCCCAATAGCAAAGTAACAGTTCCTATTGATGGTTCAATGCATAGAGCTCGTATTTTATCTATTTCCGAATCAGATTATGGTACTGAAATTTGGTGATCAAATTAATTCTTTAGTTGTTTAGCATTTTCGAAATTTTCCCTCTGTTACCTTAAAATTGTACCTTTTCTCGAATCTAATACGCTTATTTTTAGATTAATAAATTGTCATTAACTTAGATAAATATTCTTTATGTTACATAAATATTGTTAAGTTTTAGTATGATAGTTTATCCGTCCAATATGAATTTAACACTCGTCTTCCTTTTTTCTCCGACTCAATATCTCTGTGATAATTATAACATTTTCTAATAGGTGTTAAGATATATAAATTTATAATATTTAGATTTTTAGTAAGAAAATGATTTGCCATTATTGCTCTGAAATAGTTCATTGTAATTAAATTAAATTAAATGTTTTATATTTTATGTGTAAAATTAAGTAATGCATGGTGGCTTTTTACACCGCAGTGTGCACAGCTGATGACTGATTAATATTCTCCGTGTGTAAGTGCATGGTGTGATACTATGTATGTCCTTTCGTGTTTTGTAAATAATAATAATATTATAGATTTATTGTGAATTTAATGCACTTATTTCATTTTTTCTCATTCCTTCCTTTCGCACCCTCACTTCACTTACCACAATGCACTGGGTTTCAAGACGACACGTTCTGTTATAAATATTTAAGTGTTTTCGTAATAATATTTAACTCGATTATTAAGTAAATATTAAATATTTGTAACAAAACTCGTTTAATATTCATAAGTCAATCACAAATAAAGTATTAATCACAACTTGCGCACTTGTTTGTAAATAATTTAATTGAATTACACAAATTCAATTTAGTGTAAATTAACAATGAAATAAATATTAACAGTTGAAATTACTCAAACAAAATTACCATAATATTTTATAACATAACTAATTTTTCATAACATATCATCGTACTTAATGGATAACCTAAATATACCAAAAAAGAAAAAAATGGTAATAGTGGGGCTCGCAACAATAATCGCTATCATATGAAAGTTTTATTAGAATGTATAGTTTTCATTTTGTTTAGAACTGTATAATGTGGAAGTATGATTAAGGGTGTATTCCGATATACACTGTGACCACTGTAAGGTGTGACGTCAATTGAGTATACTGTGAAGAAGTTTTAAGTTTGCTATACTTGTTACTGCTTAAAACGAAGCGCAGCCCAGTATACTGTCATCCCCATTTTTCGACACTGTTTTCAAATGAAAATATTTATCATATGCATGTTTTCTGTTCATCAAGAAAAATTATTAATTTAATGTTATAGATTTTAAAACTTAATTGTCGAGTTTATTTGAAAAACAATATTAATTAATAATAATAACAATCATTCGTGGAAGCTGTCAAATATCTAGACGCTGTTATGTTTTAAGATCACGTGACTAAAGTACTGAGAAAACCTTACCTCGAAAGCGCCAGTACTCACAGTAGAAAAATGGCGGCGATTTATGACGCCATACATTTCCCTAGGATACTGCGGCAGTATACTGGTAGTCCTTAACGGAACAAATTTTTTACCAGTGTGGGCACTGAACAGTGCTCGCAGTGCACATCGGAACACGGCCAACTTGGTAGTCGATTATTGTTACTACCGCCATATCTGTCTGTCGGTATTCAGTTCCGTTTTAAACACTCATCATACATCGCTTTGCACAGTGAACGAGATTGCTTCCAATGGTTGCGACTTTGTTAAGGCCAACTCCTTCAAAGGTAAAGTTTTTGTTGCTTTTTGGCATGGTATTTATTTAGCCGATGCATGACGAGTGAAGGGATTTTCAACTAACATGTAATAAACTGTCTATCACTTTTAATTAGATATTAGTCACTGACGCTTATTTTGCTTGTATTTTGTATAATTTTAAGGTTTTACATTAACAGTTTTTCTCAGAACTTAATTTTTATATATTATAATTGTACATCAAATTCAATGTATTTTAAAATGATATAAATTTTCCTAACAAAATATAAAATATAAACAATATATATATATATATATATATATATATATATATATATATATATATATATATATCGGAAAAGTTTCTTCGTATTTTAAATACCAATTCAAGACATATTTTTTGATACTTCAATTACATTTAATAATAATAATATATATGTGCCATTTTGTTTCATAACTTGTTGCCATCTTGTTAGATATTTATAAAATCCCGTTGCTGTAAAAAACTTGGAATTTTTAATAATATATCTATTCTATATATATATATATATATATATATATATTTATCTTAATAATATATAATAATCAAAAAAATGCGACAAGTAGTTTTGATATTCCTATCTTGATATTAACCTAACAATATCCAAAGAATTCTGAAGAGACCGAGAAATGTGAAAATCTGCGGATGCAAGATCAGGCTTATATGGTGGATGCATTAACACTTTCCAACCAAGCTCTCCCAATTTTTGCTGAGTGGCCAAAAATGTGTGTAGTCTGGCGTTATCATGATTAAAGACCACTCCATTTCTGTTGATCAATTCTGGCCGTTTTTTCTTAATTTCTTGCTTAAGTCTCATTAATTGTTGGCAGTAGACATCTGAATCGATAGTTGTTTTTTTCTTAGGTAAAAGCTAAGCTAAATAAACGATGCCCTTCCAATCTCACCTATACACAGCATCACCTTATTGCGTGTTTCGGTACAGTCTGTGCAGCCTGACTTTGACCAGGACATTTTGATCATGATCTTTTTCACACGTTCTTGTCGTAGGTCAACTTTTCATCAAAAGTGATCAATTTTTTTCAAAAATATTGCGGTTTCATTAAGTTTCAATGCGGAATCATAAATAAATAAATAAATAATTTCATTAGGTTTCTTTCTGTGAGCTCGTGTGGTATCCAAATATCGAGCTTTTTTGTATTGCCAGAATTTCGAAATGGGTCAAAACTGTTTTGTGGTCAATTCTTAATTCCTCGGCTATTGCCGAATGGCATCGACTTTATTATCCGTATGAGAACGACTAGAGCGAGCTGTATCTTTGACATCAAAATTCCTAGACTGATAACGCTTAAACCAACTTTGTGCTACTCGTACTGTTACTGACGTTGCATCAGGTCTATAAACGTCACAATTTTTATTCGCTATTCACAAATTTTAGCGGACAGTAAAATAATTGAAAAATGACGTAATGTGTTTTTTTTACTTTTTTTTCTTAATGTCCATAATTATATGTATTGATATTAAAACCAGCCAGATACAAACAGTACAAAGAGTTCTTTTTTTTTTTCAAAATTTATACAAATCAAATACGAAGAAACTTTTTCCCCAACCTGTTAATATTATGCTTCCAAAACTAAAATTATGTAAAGATCAAACTGAATTAGATAGTTCACTTTTCTATTATTTTATCTTCCTTCCTTTTTATAAATCTGAAGTGACAAACGAACTTACGGTCTACCTGATGATAGGTGGCTACAGAGTCCATGTACACCTGCAGCTAACTTCAAACAAAGAAGGCTACGGACACTTTGTATTTGTAAGAACTCACAGCTTGTAATTATACTGGCTCTATATCCTATAGACATTACTGAAAGCACTGTTTGTTGGCGTAAGAAATAGGTAAAATGGTGGTACTTACTTAGACCGACTGCTAGACAGAAAAGCGGACCTACCACTTTCGCTTTTTGATTTATTAAAAACCTTTAAAACCATGAGCCGTGGTAGCTCAGATGGTTAGCGCTCGCTGTAAAAAACAGTACGCGAGCAAACCGGGTTCGATCCCCGCCGGTACCAATGAAATTGTTAATTGCAATTTTAAGTGCTGATTTACCACGTGCTCGGCGGGGAAGGAAAACATCGTGAGGAAACCTGCATGTCAGAGAAATAAGAAAAAAAATATTTCGAAGACATGTGAAGTTCGCCAACACGCATTGGGGCAGCGCGGCGGACAATTCCTTGCCCTAAAACCCTCTCAGAAATGAGCGGAGGCCTGTGCCCAGCAGTGGGACGTATATAGGCTGTAACTTTACTTTACTTTACTTTAAAACCATAGTATACTATATACGTACATAATAGAATGGGGGAGTGGGCGGATCCCGTGTAGCCACTAACATGTCAATTCACACCTATAAATGTCAACACAATCAATTGTTTCCAATTTTCGTGTCAAGCGTCGCTGCATGCAAATTATTTAAAAAATGGCAAATTGTGCAATAATTACGTGTCAAAATAACAGCGGGAAATGGACATTAAATAAAGGAGACATATCCTACAACCATTAAGTCGAAACTATTTATATTTTAAGAATATTAGAAACAAAAATAAAGAAATATTGAAGTGTCAAAAACATTAATCAAAAGTTTAAAATGTGTAAATTCGCTCAGTCCGTCAACACAGCGAATCGGGTTTGTAGTAGTGATAATACGACGTAATTGATGTGTGCTCCCGGTGACGCCAATCCTCGTACAAAATAGACGCCAATCCTCGTACAAAATAGGGTGGACAGCCATTCTATTGTGTATTATAGTATTCTATGTTATAAATTATATCTCACTTCCATTCCCTATATGGTGATACGTTATACGCACGGTAGTTACCTATTTATTGTAAGCGACATACATAGCATATATAACTACATGAACTTCCTAACGACGTACATAAACTTTCTGATAAACTCTTCTTTAGTGTAATGTACCAAAATTTTATAAATAATACTTAATACAAAATCACGCCGTCACTTCAATTTTATATAAAAAAAGAAAACAAGCTGAAATCTGCTGGCGAATGGGAATGCCATATGCACAGATGTTGCTATTATAATTTTGCGATCTATAATGAAGAATTATGTACACACAATTATTTATTCAGTTTGGTCATTTACATAATATGATCTCTAATAACCGTGATAACGCTTTTAAATATTAAACTCACTCGCAATAATAAACTTACATAATGGAAATAAATACTTAATGTGAAAAATCTTTACCACTGCCATGCACTATTTAAGCATATATACAGGAACTAGATGTATTATTACTATTGAGCAAAATGAGTTGTAATTACCAAGTAAACATTATGTAGACGTAATTAATGATTAACTGTCACGTATTATACTGCTAAGCTTGTGGAAATGGATAATTTATAAATAAGTACTATCACTGATTATTTACAAGATGTATTCAATAATGCAATAAAATATTTTTATTACTTTGAATATGTTGATTACATCTTAAGTTAAGTTAAAGCATTTCCAGAACAACTAATATATTTTTAAACGTAAATCTAACGTATTTTCTTCGTGTTTTCAGACTATCGACATTCACGTGCTGACAGGCCCTTAGGTGCATCTCAAAAAGTTCCAACTAATGGTACTACAATAGACTTAAATGGGATCAATCCAACACTTCATCAACCACATACAGCTAACCAACGCGGTAGGTACGGCTTGGTCGATTATGAGAACACGTTACAAAAAGGACAACCTAAATACTGGACGTTACCAAAAAGAACGCCATTAGATCACAATTTTCAAAAACCTATTTCTGAAAAAAGCAGAGAAAACAATTTTTCTGATAGAACAACTGTCGCTGATGTACATCTTTTGGCAGATCAACGACTTGGAAACGTTTATAATGATTCTTTAAAAATATCACCAATAGATCCTCGAAATTCAGGAAACTTTAAATCGTCCACGCCGACTAGCAAAGAAAATGCAATTGATATCACTACCAAATTACTATCTCCCGTTAAATCTACGATGACAAATGAAGAATTATACGCTGTTATTCATAAAAGTAAAAAGAAATTAAATATTAAAGAAACCCCTGAAAGATCTGATTCACCAGCTTTATCTACATTAAGCCTATCACCAGTAACTTCAGAAACGTCCTTGTATGGTAAAGGTACCCAGCGTTATCCGGAAACAGGATATTTAGGAGATCCAAGAAGTAGATGGTCACTTACCGATAGACAACTTCTGCCATCTGCTACAACTAATTTGACAACCGTTATACAAAAACAAGAAAGTACATGCGCAGATCGATTTGGCCCAATACCTCAAACTTCAAGACTCGATTTCAAAAAGCTCTTGTTACAGCATAGTGTAAAACTCAATACTCTAAATCCTCAAAGTAAGACAAATAAACTATCAGCAGTAGAACAGTTAAAACTCTCTAAAGAAAAAACCCATATACCGATGACACCTGGTAATAAGTCACAGATTAACATACTCGATCTCAGTGGATCTCCAAAAACATATACTCACAGGAAAACTATTAAATCTAATAACCAACCAGTGTCACCTGGGAGAACTGGTGGCTTAATAAAGGAGCATAAAAATACACAGAAAATTTTACTCTCCCCTAAATCTCAATGGCGATTTTCTAGTCCGAGATCGGATGTACTATCAACGCCTATACCCGAAGTAAACAATGAGGACGAAACCTCTAATAGTTCAGGCGAAAAACACGATACTTCACCTATCAACCCACCTTCTACAGTTCCTATAGTAACTAACCAACACTTTGGTGCACGGAGGAGTCTAATACCGATATCAGAGAACACCATGGAAGTAGAAAACGACTTTCCTGAATCAATCGATCATGGTGTATTTCCGCTTAACACAGATCAAAATAAACCACAAGGGTTAACAAGATCAGAAATAATGCAAGCAAAACGAGCTGAATTCTTCAACAGCTCGCCAGATTCATCGCCTCCTAAATTTACATCATTTAAAAGTCCCACAACTTCTGCACCGTGCGGGTCCGCTAGAAGCGAGACTTCCCCGGAAAGGGGAAAACGTTCGCCGACCACGTTAGAAACGGCGTTATGATGATTCCACTAGTTTAAAAGTGTTGAAACGGTGCTTTAGAAAATTACTCTGATTACATCTGTTTTGTAAATATAGCAATGAAATTGATAGAAGCTTTAATCTAGTCTTTCTTGCTTAGAGTCATTTTTGGAGACACGAATTGTATTTGAAAACCAGTTTTTATTACTACTTACCCGAAAAGGTATTTAAAGCTCAAAATTTATCATTTTGTTTATTTAATAGCTCTTATGGGGCCAATATTTGTTTATATAATTATGATATTACTAATATAATTCGATGGTTACAAATTAGCTTGTAAGTATTTATTGAATACATAATAGGTATTATTACCTATGAACGTAGAGTTTTCAATTTTTCAAAGTTTTTAAGTTATTCGAAAAATAATTTTAAATAAAATGTGTTGAATAATATGTATTTTTCATTATTTAAAAACCTTTTATAGATTTAGTTTGAATACAGCCGAAATGGTGTATTTTAGGAAATTCAAAATCTAAGCTTCTAAGTAGATTAGTAAAGTGACAAACTTCATTGAGCTTGCATCGCCACAATACTTATACTAGAATTATTTTGTCCGTGCAGTTTGGGTCATAAATCATCGAGTATTTCGCTTTCTCTCCCACTCACGGTCCTTAGGGGCGATCATAGTGATGCGCATTATCGTTGTCGATAAGCGTTATCGATAGTGTATTTAGTTTTGTCATTATGTGGATTAGTAAAAAAATGAAAAAAAAGCATTAATTTTGAAATAAATACATGGTAAAGTTAAGAGCCGTGGTAGCTCAGTGGTTAACGCTTGCTGTAAATATAACAGAACGCGAGTAACCCGGGTTCGATCCCCGCCGGCACCAATGAAATTGTTAATTGCAAATTTAAGTGCTGATTTACCATGTGCTCGGCGGTGAAGGAAAACATCGTGAGGAAACCTGCATGTCTGAGGAATAAGAAAAAAAATATTTCGAAGACATGTGAAGTTCGTCAACACGCATTTTGGCAGCGCGGCGGACGCTTCCTTGCCCTAAACCCTCTCAGAAATGAGGGGAGGCCTGAGCCCAGCAGTGGGACGTATATAGGCTGTAACTTAACTTATATGGTAAAGTTGAGGATTAATGTTAAGGACTATGTTAGACGAAAACACGATTCCGTAAAAATCCAAAGTTACCTACAAAATAAACAATAAAGCGCTGTTATTCATAAAATACTTTAAATAAGATCATGAAACTTTGCATACTAACTGAACTAACTATAAAGCAGTGCTTATGTTATTTACTTTTTTTTAAATACTATTGTTTTCACTGTAAAAAGAAATTACCTAAACTATCGGCTTCTTGAAGCTTGATACCTACCGCCCGGTCAGTTTCGCTTCGGCCTTTGAAGTTTGTTTTGTGAGGATTATCAGTTTTTTTTTATTATTTACGAATAAATATCAAATGTCGCTTAATAGTTAGTTTTATGAGGTTTTCAAATTCTGTTATTGTTCTAAATTCAAATTAAATTTTCATAGGTTTCATGTTTTCTTTAATGAGTCATTTTTATTTTGTATGGAGAACGAAGGAAATGAATAAAGCAACACACGTAGGTGAAAAAAACTAAACAAACGTTTATTTAATAACTAGTGTTCCCTCCTCGAGCTCTTATCACCGCTTCCATCTGTTTTTCATCGATCGGATTACGATGACTTTCTGTGGGATGTTGTACCATTCTTCCTGAATGGCACTTTTCAGCTGGTCAAGTGAGTCTGGGGCAGGATCTCTCGCTCGGATTTGCCTCTTTAGTTGATCCCAGAGATGTTCAATTGGATTCATGTCCGGGCTCCTTGCTGGCCTTTCCATTATGGAGATACCGACGTCGGTAAGGTAATCACGTACGACGCTCGCGGTGTGGGCTCTGGCGTTATCGTGCATAAATGTGAACCCGTTTCCGATAAAGTGTGCATAGGGCATCACGTGAGGCTCTAGGCACTGTTCCACGTACCGATGACAGTTCAAAGCAGGTAGACTTGGCCCAGACACGAAGGCAAGCTCTGTCTTACCGTCGGCGCTGATTCCTCCCCAAACCGTCCACGACACCACCATAACTGACCCTTTCTTCAATACAGCATTGTGCAAAGCGTTCTCCATCTCTTCTGTAAACCTTGTTCCTTCCATCGTTACCATAGAGCATGATTTTACATTCATCAGAGAAGAGAACTTTGCTCCATTGGAGGTATGACCAATTTAGGTGCTCGCGTGCAAAGTCAAGGCGCGCTCTTCGATGGTCTGCAGTTAATTTCGGACCATTTGCTGGCTTGTGTGGTACCAGTCCACGTTCCTTCAACCTTCTTATAAGTAATTGTAGAGTCGCTTACAGTGAGCCTTCGTACAAATTGAAGCTGCTGCTGCAGTTGAAGTGCATTAAGGCGCTGGTTTCGTAAAGAAGATGATACAATAAATCGATCATCTCTCTCAGAAGTGACCCGATTCCTGCCAGATTCAGAACGGCGCGAGAACATACCAGTCTCTCGATAGCGGTTGTAGACTCTATGAACAGATGACAGGCTAAGATGCAATGTTTGAGTCACAACACGCTGACTAAGTCCAGAATCCAGCAATGCCACCACTTGAGCGGTTTCTGTGGGCGAATTATCCATATGTTTTAGAAAATAAAACTTTTCAGACGTCTTAGTCACAGTAAACAAATTAAGAACAAAAACGTTAAAGATAAACGCAAATTTTTAGTTTTTAAACGTGAAATGATCTCCAACTGTAGACGCACATTTGTCTCAAAATAGTGATTCATTTCATTTAGAGGATAAACAAATGAAATTATAATTTTGAATTTTGAATTTTCGCTTACCGTTGTAATGGTTAGATTGCCAGCTATACAATAAACTTATTTTTTTCATGGAATGAAAACTCTTTTGTATTAAATTAGGTGTTTCAATTTTTTAACAAATTAAAACAAAGGTGTTTCGATTTTTTTGATGAGAAGTATATAAGTAAATATAAAAATTGCATCAAAGTTTATCAAGTAATTTAAAAGTACTAACAAACAGATAATCGCTGATAAAAGGTAAACGGTATAAAATATTTAGAAAGAAAAAGAAATAGAGGAGGGGTAAATAAATATTTAACGAAAACTCACATTTCATTCCCATTTCTGTTAAACTAGGTAAGCCAAATATAATTAATTATCGATACAAAGTAGTACTGTCACGCCACTGTCTCGCGCTCTAGTCCTGCGGCCGTGTTCTTGGAAATTTACGTACGCATTACGCAACAATATTGTTTATTGCCCATACCATAAATCTATCGCTGCTTTTAGCAGTCGTACTCATAGACATGAACTAGCTTAAGAATCAATGGATATTGAAATGTGAAAACAAATACATTTTCGGAGACAATCGTAGTACTGGAGGTGAATAATTTTATTTAAGTATATTTCATTAAAAACAACATTATTTAAAACACTAAGTACTTATTTATGAAATGTTATCCCTTTATTTGAAAACTTGCAAGTTGTGGAAGAATTTCCGCAGTTGGATATGCTTCAAAACTCCATTTTTACGTCTCTGCGTCCGAAACATTGAGTTATAAATCAATGGTCCGAAATAACACTGGTGACCAAAACATACCTACTCTCCTTGCGCGCTTGTGACCTACGAGTCACATGTGCGGTGACAAGGTCACGCGCTTTTACGACTTCTATTGCCTTATTATTTAGATTTCTGTAATTTTTCCGTTATATAAAGTAGCCTATGTCACTTTCCGGCCCATAAGCTATCTCTGTGTAAAAATCATGTCCGTAGCTGCATGTAAGAAGTACAGTGGCAGTGATATTTTCCGGTTATTCGGAAGTGATCAGCTATCGGTCAGGAGCACATTAACACTACTAACATCATGTCTGACAAGTTTTTGGAACAATTAGCTCTTCCGGTGCTTGTTGACAGACTTCGTATTTCCTCGAAACGTATGTTCCATTGATGTGCAGGTTCTATCAAATAGAACTCAGCGCTAAAAATTGCAATTAACAGTTTCATAGGTGCCGGCGAGGATTGAGCTCGGGTTTATATTGCCTACTTTGAATGCAAGCCATTCATAAATCATGTAAAATAAGAATAGAAGGGAAGTCGGTCAATCAAGTAGATAAGCTTGTGTATTTAGTATGTGTGTTTAGCAGAGAATAGGCATGACAAGGATATAGAACAAAGAATGAATACAGGGCACAGAGTGTACCTCTTCACTTTATTATGGGAAGTCAAATTGTGCCAAAAATGGCACGTAACAGCAATACACAATGCTGTGTTAGTTTCTACTATACTATAGTAGTTAGGTTTTCCAGAATAAGCATAAACGTAAAATCAGTGCTGTTCAAATGTGGTTATTAAGAAGTGTGCTAGGAGTGACTGAATAATAGGGTAGAGAAAAGTGTTGTTTGCAAGACGGTACATGCGTACGGGATTAAGTAAGGATGATTTAAGGTTGACTCACGCTACACCGTGTCGGGCCCGAGCCGAGTGGCGGCCGTAGCACGGTCAACTAATCTATACATATAATAAAACAGTAACGAAAGAAAAAACTGTACATTGAGAATTTTCGAGAAAAAATAAGTGGCTTTTGTTAGAAAAACGTAACTGATGACAAAAAGTGACTTTTTAGAACTTTTGTCAGTTTGTCCGTTTGTATGGTACGGCTTCCAAGTAAACCAAGGAAGGCTTTAGGCTACATATTATCACGCCGTATGTTATAGGAGGTAAGCAATATTGATTATAAAAGGTTTTCCTTCGTAATTGAATGCACAAAATGACATGTTATTTATTAGTTATAATAAAAATAAAAATTTTACTCTGCGAATATAATAATCACGCTATTTTTATAAAGGAGCGGGGCAGCAATATTATAAATTGCAAGGGAACAGCTGTTGTTGTAATTCTTAGTTTTGTTCCTTGCTGCTGTTACCATATTTTTTTAATGCAAAATAATGTACTTGTCTGTTAAATTAACGACAATTTAGTTTTAATTCAT